TCGCGCAACATTTATTTTCTCTCACAACTGTTTTTTTTTTTTTTTTTTTTATTTTTCTTTATGCGGATCAGGACCAAAGAAGTGATTCGAAAGTATAAGAACAGACTATACAAGATGAAAGACGCGGGAAATGACAGTAATTGCTCGTTACTTTCCGATTAAAACGCTCTTGGCAAACTGCAGTAAGCTGTTCTGGCAGAAGCGACTTCATTAGCATGCTCCTCCCCGCTCGTTGTCTATGTCATCTACATCGAGACAGTTACGGGCAATTCCGACGCCGAGAGACATCGAGGCTGACCTCTCAACGTCGACTCAAGTTAGATTCTCGTCACTTAAATACTCGATGGTGTGTGGCACCGCAAACTCTGTGTGAATCATGTAACTATCTGCCACTCCCTTATTAACTAGCGAACATCTGATGCTTGTTACAGTTTGTAACGCTGCGCGAGAAGATCTCGGGAGGAAGACGAACCGTATTATTTAATCAATTATATCTCTCCCTCTCTCCCCTCCCCCTCCCCCCACGCTGTAATCCCAACATATTGTACACAGTGCTTGATGTGTACCTTTTATGACGCGACAGCTCGTGTATTTTGGATTCAACCGTGATGAAAACGAAGCTTAAAGAAGACACACATACGTCTTTTTTTTTTTTATCTTAAAACAAACATGCCGTCGTACCGGGGGGCCATATGGCGACCATTATTTCGTGACTACGTCCGAGAAAAACTCGCCTAACAACGCGCTCGAACACCGCCAGGCTGCTCTCTCGACGAAGTTAGTTTATAACATATAAGTTAGTCTATAACATATATAACACACAAGCTCAATTTTTATTTAAAACTATAGTACTAGTAGTAAATTTTTATATACCTTTGAATAAAAAGGAATATCTTTAATAAAATAAAAAAAAGTCGTGAGGTTTTATTATTTTAGTTTTTTTTATCGGAGATGCAGGTACGTGTGCTGGTATGTGAGTTTATGTTGTTTTTACTTTTATACGTAACCATCACGTTCACTTTTTGCCAGTGATTCATGACATTTGCCAGAAAGTTTCTTTTTTTTTTTTTTTCCGCGTTCCAGATGGCGGAAGAAAAATCGAATATTGCGTAAAGCGATGGAGAAAAAGTACGTAATTAGACGCTTACGGGGAAAATGAATTCTTTCCGGCGGAACGATTAATTCAAACCGGAAGAGGGGGAAGGCGGGGCGGATATGTTCATTCCTCGTTATGTACACACACACACACACACACACACGTATGTGAAGAAATAAAGTTTTTCCATATTACATATGCTACTTTAAATTCACCGCATTTGTGCAAAGTCTGCAACATTACGCAGCGGGTGAACTATGTTTCCACGATAGATAAAAAAAAAAAAAAAAACCATATAAGTGTGGTCAAATAAGTCTTGTATGAATATTACATCGCGAAAGGAACGGTATTTCGGCTCGCAATTGCCGCGAAAGTTATTCACGGATTGAAAATATTCATCGTCTCTGATTCTCTGTGTTTTCCCCCATGAATACATATTCCTATAGATTCGATTTAATCTCACAAATAGCCATTTTTCGATATTTTCGCACCTCTCCGCAACTTTCTCACGCGTCTTTTTTTTTTTTTTTTGTCGTTTTTACCGCTCTTTTCAATCCTCATCTTTACATTTCACGGCGTTTCAAGTCCGTGACTAAGGCCGGCCGGGCAAATCGCAAAGTTCATCGGTGGCAGGTTGAATCGGCCGTATTTATTCAGCAGCCAACCCCTCCGCGGCCACTCGGAGATAAGACTCTTTTCTTGATTCAGCGACGACCAGCGCACGTTCGCACGGGACTAGGTAGATAGGTATATCCTGACCTCGATCTCCTTTTGCGAAATCTCTCTCATCACGAGATAGAGAAAGAGACTCACGCCTAGAGCACTTGGTTGACGCATCGCGCCGTAACAGCCGGAAGCGACGTCGCTATCCGATAAATCATCTTTTTTAAACCGTTCTCTCTCTCTCTTTCTCTCTCTCTCTCTCTCTCTCTATCTCTGTCTTTGATCTTGGCGATACATAATTTGCCCAGGAACGTATTCAGCCGTGGTAACGGCCCGTTATTTCTTCGTACACGCGTTTCCACGGACGGGCAAACGTCCGTGGAAGTTGGCACACGGGTAACATTGCGCTTGGCGATGTAGCAACCCGAAAGCTCATTACCCGAGCAAATAGAGAGAGAGAGAGAGAGAGAGAGAGAGAGACAGAGAGATAAGAGTGCAGATAGAAGAAACGACCGTCTCCTCGTACGGCGTTTCTGGCGTCTGTATCTTCTCTACGTAATCAGCAGATTTACGATTAAATGCGAGAAAGTATTTAAAGCAATTTGCGTATGTGCGCGCTTGACATTGATCGAGCACGTTGTTTTTCGCGAGAGTGACGACTTTCGTTAAGTTAAAGAAAACATAATCCCGACGGATATTCTCCGGAACTATCGGATGCTCCGTGGCGATTATTTTCGCTCGCGTTGCTTCCTATAAGAAACGCGGGATCTATATTTCACGGTGTCGTGATTCGAAGCACCGCGCTATCGAATCGGGCGAACGGGTATCAGCTCGCTTCTCTCTCTCTCTCTCTCTCTCTCTCTCTCTCTCTCTCTCTCTCTCTCCTTCTCGTGCTCGACCTCCCGGAGACGAGTGTTGGGATCCGACCGGTCGTAAAAATAAATCTAGGACTCATAATCTGTTTGAGGGGATAGCGCTTTTCTCGTTCGGGCGACGGAAGACTCCCGCGATAATATCGCGGAGAGAGAAGTTCGCTCTTCGTTCTTTCCGGAACTTCGCTGCATTCATCGCTCGTTCTTCTCTTCTCGGATCTTTCCTTTGACGATTTTTCTTGAAAGCGATTGGCTGCTTCTCGCGAACGCTTACGTTGAACGTTTCGAAATGTACACACACGCACGCACGCACACACACACGCACACACGCGCACATGTCCACACAATGTGTTTGTGAATCTAGTTTGCGCGACGCCCGTAAACCTATACACGAACGCGACGGCGCGATTCAATTATATTATCATGACGTGACTGTATGTTGTAACATGTAGCGTGGAAAACCGAAAATCGAAGGTCCTCGTAAAAATATACTTAACGTAAACGAGATTTCTTGATGGTGCATCACTATTGGATCGCCGACAATAAAAAAACTCGAAAATTCACACCAAAAACGAAACTTTACCGACCCTCGAAAGCATTCACTCGCTTCATCGGTGTATCGGGTCGCTTCGGTTCGGGTCAGCTCGACACAACTTTGTCCGTGCACACGTACACACACGCGTGCGCGTGTACACGGATTCGCAAGCTGGCTACCGGATGAAGGGTCGCTCTCTTTCTCCTGTGTCACGTTCAGCAGAACGAAAAGTTTCATACGCGCGTTTCATACGACGCGAAATAGAAAATGCTACATCGTAGCGTTTTCGCGAGTGGTCGGTCGGTCGGTCGGTTCCTCTTTTTCTCCGCATCGCATTTTCCACTCTCGCTTTTATTCTTTTATTTTCTTTCTTTGTCATCTTTTGTTTCGCATTTGTCACCGCTGCTGCTTCTGCAAACGACCGCTCATTTTCCTAATGCGACATTTTCCTGATAGCGGTGCTACCAAACGAGCGCGGACGATTCGTCGATGGTCGTGATTACACGCGGCGAGAACGAGCAAGAGCATCACTCTATGTTTATGATAGATGATGGAAATGTTAACGAGATTTCACTAGAGAGACCTTGTTTCGCTAGACCTTGTCTCAACTAGACAAAGTATAATGACTGAATTTATCTGAGGATATCACACAGTGATATCCTATCTAAATATCAATTTTAACTTTCCCTCAAGAGAAGAACAAAAACAAAAACACCGCTGCTCCTCAAATTAATTTCTCAATTCAATTATACGTAAAATTAAATTGCACGCAGTTTTACTGGCATTTGCGCGTTAACGAGAATTTATTTAACAAAATCAAGCATTTCTGACTTGAAAATAAGATTTCTTCAAGCGCATCACGTTTGGATTCGTGCCAAGATCAATTATTAAAAATTGCTCGCACTATTATTTTATCCATCAACTCTCTCGTGAACTGATGGTGCGTCTTTCTGTGCGTTTAGTTCGACGGCATTTATGATGAAATTCTCCAATTACGACGCAGCAAAACGGGATAGTTAAATTTGATCGATACGCAGCAGCGAATTATTATTACCAAGTAATAGTGGCGACGGTGTGTCGTGTAGGCAGCATAAGCTTTCCAATTATTTTGGTCTAGTGCATGACAACTGAAGCGTCGAGCCTTTCATCTCCCTTAACTGATACGCCAGGGACCTTGTTAGTACCTGTCCGTCAACCTATCGATTAACGCGCCGCCCACGTTTTGAAAAAAGGAATGATTAAATATCGAAATGACAGCTCGATCGGCGCCCGTGCGGAAAATAGACGAGAAGACCGGTAACGTATTCCTGGATGATACTGACTGTTTCTCAGTTTACCATATCACATGTTTATTGCGGCGGAAACACGTGACAAGGGCGATTAACGAGGCGTGTGCGCGCCGGCGATTATTTGATCTTCATTAACAAAGGGCCAGACTAAACAACAAAGTCTGATCGGCGTGATTCGAAACACGTGTATGTGTTGCTTACGCACACACGTTGGCATCTGCCGCGTGCTCGCCAAATAGATACATATATATATATTGTATATATATATATATATATATATGCATATATATATATATATGTATATATATACATACGCGTGTACGCGGTAGCCGTTGACGCGTGCACGTCGCGCGTGTGCTCGCCAGATGTGTCCGAGAGCGTGGATGCTGCGCGTCGCCGTCGTCCTCCCACACGTAGTGCGGTTGCGGCGCGGCGCGGCGCGGCGTCCGAATAAGAGGAGGCGAGAAGAGAGGAGGTGCAACACGCCGAGAGTGGAGAACGGAACCGTTCAGTCGCAGCCACGAAGCGGCGCCGTGCGCGACGATCGCGACGACGCCGACGACGACGTCGAACGTTCGCGCATGCTACGCTTCTCTTTCGATCTTCCGGCCGTCCCGATCGTGAACGTTCGTTCGTCTCTCCGTTTCGCTCGAAAAGAATTGTCCGAGACGAAAGAACAAAATTAAATTTTCGACCGTCGAGCGCGGAAGAGATTTTTTTTTCTTTCCGCGTCGCGAAATTCTTTCCGCGAACGTGAGTGTCTAACAATTCCGGACCGGTCTCGGATGTAACAACGTGCTCTCATCGGGAATACTTATCGGGGGAACTCGGCGAAGATCAGACATGCAGCTTGAGTAACGGGGTGAGCCCCCGCGCGCTGGTGGTCGGATCTATAATTAACCGCGAAGAACGCGGCTGGCAGTAGAACGAGGTACGATCTCCGCAAGAAATCAAATTGCGCACCGGGAGTGAATCTCGTTCGGAGAAAAAGATCTCGGATCTAAATTGAGGGTAGCGCGAAACTACGTGTGTGTGTTGAGCAATGTCATTGACGAATCGCAGGTTCGTTGTGGGATTTGCTACGTTTCGATCAATGCGTTAAATCCAGCGATCGATACGACACGTAGTAACATCATCTTCATTAGAGAAAACAAATCTTTACACATTGCAAGAAAGAGAGAGAGAGAGAGAGAGAGAAAAGAGCATTAAGTTCGTTCACTGAATATTGAAATTTGCCAGCGATTATGATAACAAAATGGGAGCGGATTAACTCGCAAGTTTCGCGAAAGCGAATGAACTGCGTGTGAATCGCACGTAGGAAGGGATTACTTTTCAATAGGTTTTCCCGACTGTAAATACGCAGTAACTCCAAGAGAAATCGCGCGCGCTCTCTCTCTCTCGCGCGCGCGCTTCGTCGTCATCGTCGTCCGACTTTATCGCGAGAAGCGGGAAAATTGGAATTAGCCGCGTGACTCATTCTCGAAGAGGAGGCCGAGAGTTCGGTCACGTTTTACGAGCGGAGTAATCTCGCGGAAGCCCGAATTAACAGCGACGTTAAGCGCCACGCCGTCGCTGCTACGTACAACGGAAAGGAGAAACGGGAGAAATCGACAAAGACTCGGAAATGATTAAAGGCACTTGAGAACTCCGAATGCGGGGAGAACGCGTCGCCAGCATGTCCCGATCGGCGATTAAAAGACCGATCGATCCCCGGAATTAACGCGAGCGTCAAACGAGCCGCGACAGAACCATCAATGCCCTAATCAATGTCACTCGCACCGCCGATCGCCTTTTGCCACTCGTGACGTACAGGGAGAGAGAGAGAGAGAGAGAGAAAGAGCACGCGATTTAACAGCAACGTCGATAGTGACGAGTTTAACGTTGTCGAAAACGTCGTATCGTGGTCGAATCGCGAGAGAGCGGACAGGAGAAAGGGACGCGCTGTCGTCATTTGTGATTTCGTACTTTTGTTTGCGGGTGCAGCATCCCCAAGAGTCGGCGACGATCTCGCGCAACACTGTTTTCATATCGTTTTCGGAGGAGACGTCTGTGATTATGCGCGAATGGAGAATGAACTGTGGCGCGTGAGGGAGAGTGGCGGACGTTCTTAAACCCCGATGAAATGACAGTTCTGTGCGTGCTGTGGGCTATTCTGTCCACCGTGGCCTCGATCCTGGCGTGCTCCGGCTTTTATCTACCTTACTGGATTCAGGTGAGCAATCGCTTAACTATTAATTGCATTATGGAGATGCAATTACCATTACGAAGAGATGCCAGAAACTATCTTCCGAAAGTTCTTTAAATTTTTTTTTACCTTAAAGTGATTTATGAAGATTGAAGTAGTTAAGTAATCTCGAAGGAATCTAAAAAACTTCGAAAAGAAAGAACTGTAGATAATTAATGAACAGCAATATTTTGCATTTTTATTTTGGTTTTTTACTTTTATATTTATATATATAGATATTGTCTGTATAATATATGTATATATATATGTACACACACACACACACAAGTAACCTTTAAATATGCTTTAAACATGTCTCTTTTAAATTAACATATCGCTACTTTATACTGTGGCAGAGCGTTTCGACGTTCGGCGGGCATTAACGGTGCGACATTAATGGAGCGATAAAGTAGCGCATCGATGAATATACGGGAGCAACTCGTTGAATCAAGATAGCGCGCGATAAAATAGCGTTATTACCGGTCACAATTGAATTAGTTCTACGCTTCTACTCGCGCGTGTGTTATACAGCGTGATTTAACTTACAATATCCGTCGTACTGCCGCAGCTATTCCTACTACATGAATCGGTGAACAACTATATAGAAAAACTAGCCGATAACTGACAAAATTATGCTTATCGAAGATACGTGGAACTTTGCACGGCACTTCTTCTCGTTCCACATCGCCATCGAATCGTACGATGTCGTTTTCCGCGCAACTTCGCCGAAAGGTCATTCCGAGATTTTCTACGATCATAGTTCGCGCATCTTCAGAGACTCTCATACGTGTAACGCGTACATATGCGCACGATGACGACTACGTGGAGAGATATGAAGCGAGTCGCAAGCGTCTTCTCTCTCTCTCTTTCTCTCTCTCTCTCTCTCTCTCTCTCTCTCTCTCTCTCTTTCTCCTTACCTAGATCTTATAGTCGAAAAGCATCGTATCGTCAGTTTTGACGACTTCTCTTTCTCCTCCATCCCAACAACTTCTATTACGACATGATCGTAAAGCGATTTAACGCAGGCACCGACGTTATAAAACCCCGAAGAAATTTGCGTGCTCGGTTAATAAACCACCGGGATCAATAATCTCGTGAGTCGTACGCACATCGAGAACGCATTTCGCGATTACAAAAAAAAAAAAAAAAAAAAAAAAAAAAAAAAAAAAAAAAATAAGAATTCATTGAATGATGAACCGACTGAGCGCGTTGCGGCACTACGATAAAGAGAAGAGTTTATGAAAAAACACTGAATTTTTACATTTTTATCGTGTTATTTTAAAGTGCACTTCGTGCGCACATTGAAGCGACTATCCATTTATCACTCTTGAGGTATTCACTGGGAAATTGGACGGCTAAAACTCGTGAACTCGAATTGCAAGATTCGCCGAGATCGAGTTTCGCGAACGGCTGCTTTCGGACCATTCCCATGAATTTCTGATTCCTGCCGCGTAATTAAGCGTAATCCGATTACATCCGGCTATTGACGTATCGCAATAAATTAGCAAGAAATGCTCTGTGTACAGCATCCCATCCCAGAATTTCACAATTTTTTCGTTGCAAAATGTCGTTAAATAGAATTACGCTTTGATGTTTGTCGTTTCGAGTTTTCAGGAAAAAAGAAAAAGATCGTAATGATGTTAGAAGATTACATGCACGTTTGCTATTTAAGTTTTTATTTTTACGTTGGTTTGTTCGTGCGCGAGATGTAAAATGAGATAGCTAGGGTGGAGTCTGCGACAAAGAGGAAACGAAACACTGAGAAAAGTAGCGAGAAAGGAGCAACTTGGAAATAAGAAAAGCAGAGAAGTCGGAGGAGGGGAGCTGAGGAAGAGCGGAAGAACGGAAAAGAAAACGTGAGAAGTCGAACAAGCTCGAGTTGTCTGACAAGATAGATCGTAGAACGACGATAGTAATCGGATTCTTCGTTCTAAACGACGAACGAAACAACAAAACTGAAACATTAATTCTACAGTACACGCGTCTTAATACTGTCTGTCTTACTAATTAAGTAATCGAACATTTCGCAAAAGAGAATTACAAAATTCAAAAGTCGAATCCTCTTCTAACTTGAAAGAAAAATTACATGACAACAAAATGTACTTTAAAAAAAAAAAAAAAAAAAGGAGATTTGTAACATTCCCGGACGTTGCGGAGAATTTACATAGTTTCAAAATTTATTTATTATTTTTTTTATTAAAACAAATAACGCGAGAAATTACGTACGCGCCCGGCTGAATATTAACTTGTTTAACTTGTGCGGCAAATTCAGATAATTAAATGATTTCAATCAAGCCACCGCAGGCATTGTCAACAAGTGTAACGATGTCCTCGTTGTGATGCGAGACAAAATTTCGGTCCTTGAAACTTACCGAGACGTTCGTTACGCGTACAAGATTCTTGAACGAGACAAGAACGCTTCTGGGCACAGGCAAGTTGGAAGAGGGAAGTTGATGAGGCGAATATCATCGGGTTGGGTAACTTTGTACTTCGCGCGACTACTTGCCTTCATTTGGCCGTTGTTGTTACAGATTGTCGATGTTGACATAGCTCGCAAACCAAGTCCCGATCACAGCCAAATTGTTCGTATTCTCTACGTGCTCTCTGCAAAAAATAAAGTTTTGTCCTTCAATTATATTTTGATTTTAGATGTGTACAAAACTTTTTTCATTTTCTGAGTATCTTTTGCATCTCCTAAATGAGCAACTAAGAACTCTCTCTCTCTCTCTCTTTTTTTTTATAGCGCACGTATTTCTTACGATATTGCATCGTCGATTGTAGAGATGTTTCGTTTCTAAAAGACCGTTTATATTGTTCGAGATTAATGATGTATCGTCTTACAACGAGTCATTGGAGAAACCTACGATCATAAAGAGAACTCAGTCGCAAAAGGAATCTTGTTACCTACAACGTTTTATCGATAATTAACGGAGATGGCATTTCTCTCTGAAATTTTTCTGTTTTCTTTACGCAACTTCTGTTTATTTACATTTTTTCGTTCCTCTACTAGTTTCAAATGTGTGCGCATAAATTTATTTACAAAGATAAAATACAAAAAACAAAGAATTTTTTAAGGATTTTATTGCGCGCTCTTTGTGCTGCAATTTTACATTTAGTCGGGATCTTTTATCACGGTTTATTAATGAAAACGAATGCGAAAGAAATAAGCTCGGGGAAAATAGCATTTGGCAAACGACAAGCAAGCTTATTACGACATCTTCTTGCAAAGATGATCACGTTATATTTTTTTTTTTTTCTCGTATTAAGAGAAGCAATCAAAAGCATTCAAACAGAACGGCGAGACGTTTTCCGTTACTTTGGCGCCGTATAGAATCTGTTAGGAGAGGAAGAAAATTTTCTCCGCTATGCCAGTGCCTCGCATATAAATGAATCGAATGTATGTCTTGCTCTAGATGCTGTTGCACGCTCGATTAACCGGCACAGTTTTTACTCAAGAAACATGAGCAACGGTTAAATAATATTGATGCCAATATCTAGTCTCGTGTATGTACTTGCTTACATCTCGTAATTTATTTTTACACATTATTTTCCGTTTCGCATAAAAAAAAAAACGTTTTCTCAGAAAAATAACAGTCTACAAATATGTGGAAAATAAAGATTCTAAATGCAGTCGTGCAATATTAAAAATAAATACACAAATAAATTAATTTAACAAAAGTTTATCCATTAAGTTTCTGCTTCTTAATTTTACACGGAGCATTTCCTTCGATTTTGAACTTATTGCACAGAAACTAAAACGCGCGCAGTAATAACAACCGCAGTGGTATAACCGCCGCATTTCCGCGGCCTTGTGTATTTTCAGGGACGACTACTGGGAAAGGCGGACGCGTACTTCAGTTCCTTTCGGCGTTGCAACTACCCGCGAATCAGAGCACCCAACGCCACACCCGAGATAGTTTACGAGTGTGCGAGGTACTCCAGGTATGTATTCTCGCATTAATGTATTCCCGTATCAAAGCAACGGGGTTTCGCAAGCGCGCCCAAAGTTTTTACGTTCGTGATTCTCGAGACATCGGGAAGAGGGGGCGAAAAACACACCCGCGCCAGACATCTCTTAGGTTGCGCGAAATTTTAAAGAACACACGTCGTTGGGTTGCAAATTCGCTCAGTCACTTTTGCGAATCATCCCACAGATTGAGCAAAATGAGAACAATTTCCTCATCAGATGCTAGACGCTCTCATCCAGCTGAATGCAGTTTTAATTATATCTTCGTAATGAAATTGTAACTCGAGATAATGTAATTCTGATAATCAAAACCGCACAAACACAGCAATGGAAATGAAATGAATTTTTTTACTCTAATCAAAATAAAATTTCGCAAGATAACTACGAGCGTGTGTGTGTGATGTTGGAGAATATTGCCAAGAAAATTAAAAATAATTACTAAAAAAATGTAATTTAAAACATAGAGTAGAAAAATTGAAAAATCCATTAAAAATACGTATTAAAATCATGCTTAATGCAACATTCTGAAATCGAGATAACCGAGAAGGGGGGTTATCAAATTTAAAAAACAAAATTCTTCATGAATTACGCATTTAAGGTTGCAATATTCCGCGCATAGTAAAACAGCGTTTATATACATATATTCCGGAGACGCACGAGTAACATTTAAAGTTAGACAATGCACGAGTTAATTCGAGTTCGGGGGATGCGGATTTCGAATAATTTCAGACCGAACTCAAGTGGCTCGTATAATTCGTGTCGCGTGGCCGGAATAATTCCGCGTGACAATACTCGTGCCCGCGAGAACTCGCGACGAAACGCGAGAAAACGGGATACCGTGCTGTGTAAAAACTTTCTTCGTGTGAGCTACGACGGTTCTGTAGCGCGCGAGCGCGGCCGTAAAAATCGCGCGCAGGTTTCCCTACGGCATTGAAACTAAAGCACCGTTATTAACAAAGGGAATTATAAAAAAGAGGCGAGGAGAAAAACGAATTTTTTTTGCAAACGACGAATTTATATAGAATATCATAAGTTTCAGATAAAACAATAGTTCTTCGTTAGTTTGTTTTACTTCATTCGGAAAAAAAAGGACTTTTGTTTGCGCGTGTGTGTGTGTGTGTGTTATTGCAAAAGCTAAATGCGGTCATCAATTTATTTTGGATATCATTTCTAAATATGCGCATAAGTAATTGAGTTAAATGTCGTTGTATCACTCATGCAAATATCTATTTCGGAGCTACGTACGCTGTTATTTGCAATAACTTAAAAAAAAAATCAATTTGTATGATAAAACATTGTGCACATACCTACATGTATAATGCAAAATCAGTTTGTATAATAACAAAATTTATTATACGCGTGTGTAATGCAGAATCAATTTGTATGATAAAAAATGTATACACGCATGTGTAATGCGTTATATAATTTTACACGTAACTTGCATTAAGCATACATAAAAACAAATTTTCACTTACTTTGACGGCACTTTCCGACGGCATTAGTATTAATATGGTGAAAGTTTATCAGCAATATTCGCGCTTATTCTATTGTGCCATAGCGTCAATAACAACGGCGCATAACAGGAAATAACAATTACTGCCATAACAATGAGCGAGAGATTAATCGGGTCGAGAGTTTCATTTCGGGGTCGCGAAGGTATTAAGGTGTATTTGTGAATGACGTATATTTTTCAAGTGTAGCACGCGTGCTATATGAACCGCGGTTAAATGATGCGCATCAAATTCCCGTTCCCGCGGGATCAATGAGAGCGCGTTAAAAACAAGAAATCCGACTATTCCGCAACTGAATTACCGTCATTATGTATCGCACGGAGTGCGCGCACGTAAAGAATTTGCAGTCGAAAATAACGCGCTAGGTTTTATGCGATAGAAATAAACGCAACGACCTACGACAAAATATGGAAATTGTACCTTTTTTTTTCCTCTCCCTCATCGTTCCGCGCACTCGTTAATCCATTCGTCCGACATTCGTGCTCGCAAATACTGACGCAAATGTTGAAATCATATGCAGTTTGCAGTCGCGAATTGCAGTTCCAGTCGTGAAAACAATTTTTCTCAACTTTGATTTTTCTTTTTTTTTTTCCCTGTGAAAACGAATGAAATTTTGCTTGTTATCTATTTTACACGAATGAGAGAACGAGAATAAGAACTTTTATCATTGTCACAATCGGGACGTGAATTCTAGCAGGCAATATATACGGTCAATTCGTATTTTGTTGATGTACGTTATTAAGATGTGTATTTTCAACAAGAAAAATTATTAAAAATTACTGAGATGCGAAAAGTAAAAAATTACACACATTTCTTGGCACGGCTAACGGATCGCGAGAGGGAAAGAGAGATGAAATAGATGTGAAAAAGTACGACGAGCGGTGAAAAGGGCTGATGTAACTTTATAAGCTTCGCTACGATTGATGTTCCATTTTTGTCGAGACAAAAGAGGGAACAATACGATATTTCGTGTCAGAATGCGCGCCGCAAAAAATATTTAGTTTAGTCGTGTTTAACGAGTCAAAACTTCAGCGAGCTAAAAACAGATAATATGATATTTTACACGACGATCTCGTGAAAAATATTTGCGTAGAACGAAAACTATTCTCCGCGTGTTCTCATGTTCTCGCGTTCATCATACATTTATCACGTATCACTTTCTTTCGTTTTTCGGCAGCAGCAATTTTATGAGAGTCGAATCTCTTTATTTGGAATATTTGGACGATACAGTTTTGAAATTTTTCCATTGGAGCGAAATTTTCTCCGATATAATGGTTCGCGAAGCAGATTGCCTCATTATATTCTGGATCAATAAACTTCATTTTACTATGTACATATATATATATATATATATATATGTATATATATATATGTATATATATATGTATATATATATGTATATAAGTAGCGGAATTGTTTTGCTGCATTAAAGAAATTTAAATTCAACACATCGGCCAAGAAATTGCGTTATGGCGCGCAAACGGATGAAATAATGCATTTAAGTTGGTAATTTCTGAATTTGCTCAAAACACCAACACAAACTTCTGCAAAATGATAATACAATTTAACTTAACTTTGTTTAATTTCACGCTGAAAAGTTTAATTCGGTATGCGCAACGAAATATAATATAATTTTCCGTTTGAATTTGTTCTCCTGTATTATTACATCAGAACGTAATTAGGTTAAAATATATTTGCTTCTCCGCGCTTTGCTTAAACCAGATCGATTAATCCATGCTAATATCATCGTGTATACAAATAGCACAGAATTTTTGATTAATGTAAAACGAGAAAATAAATATGTCAACAAAATCGTAAATAAAATTTATGCGATTGAATTTTTTCGGCAAACATGTTGCCAGTTTCAAATTTTCAGTGTCATCAAATTATTTTCGCATGCGTGTGCGTGTGTGTTTTCAGTACGTTAATAAAATATTATTTTCGATCAAATAACTGTCTAATATATTATGCAATATAAATATTATAAATATAATTTATAATCTCACATTTGTGATACTTACATATAAATATTTACGCACTTCTGTTTCTTTTCAATTTCAAAACATATGTATCTGTAAAATAAAATGGTTTTCCTCTTTCGTGAAACATATAACTGTATTATACTTACGAAATATTCAGCATTTAAATGGAAATGCTATGAAAACAATGTTTCAACGCGAATTTATTATCGTGATTGGTGTTTCATTGTTGTTCAGCTTTTGGGACATACCGAGTGCCTGGTGGCAGGCGAGTACAGTCACGATGGGAATCGGTGTCGCGATCGCAGTAATCGGCGCCTTGACGCTCTTGGCAGCAGCTTCGTCATTCCTCCCACACATTCTCAAAACACCCAAGCATACGAGAATTCTTGGTTCCCTACAATTGCTTGCTGGTGAGTGTTACAAATGTATGCAGACTTTTTTTTCACCGCTTGTAATTAAATTTAGTTGGGCGATATAATATATAGAACTTATTATTTGTTTTTAAATAGAAAAAGCAACACATAGTAGGAATCATATGATTTAAGTTTTGCTCTTTGTCGATTCTATCCAAATCGCGGGGACGCGATTAAAACTGGTAGTCTGTCAGTTTTTCGGACTTTCAATTGATGCGAGTGACGAAAGTAACGGACCGTCGAGAAGCTCACGGCGAAATAATGAACTGTCCCCGAATAAAATAGATATCACGGCGACGTCATCCTTCTTCCAGCATTGACATATTCCATTTACGCGCTTCAAGTTAGTTCGTTGTTCTCGATTTGCTCCTTTCTGCGTTCGAGGGTCGCTTTCGGAAAAATGACAGAGTCGCCCGCGGGCTCGAAGCGACATGATCGATGCGGGGCGAAGTCGGGGATTCTGTAATACTGATTTCTCAAGAGAAAAACGTTATATTCGACGCAAAATGTTGAAATTGGAAATTCGCGTGATTAAAGCTTTCTTAAAGTAAAATTCGTTCGTGATTTTTCGCGAATTTGTAAGCATATTTTTTCCGTAAAAAAAATTCTGCTCGAAGAAATAATGTAAAGTATTTTCAATATTTTCGAAAAAATAAAAAAAAAGAAAAACACAATATCTTATCGCACAGGAATTTATGTATTCTATCAAGTCATTATCACTGTCACAGAAAAAGTCGACAAATTATGACAAATGCCTTTCGATAGCGATTTCGAATTCGGCCGTGCGCAGAGGTAGGTAGTACTGTAGGTTATGATTGATGTGCATTTTCACTTGTTTGTTACAGCAGCGATGATATGCGGCGGACTAGTCATGTACCCGATAGGCTGGGATAATCGAGAGGTACGAGAATCCTGCGGAAAGGGAGCCAACGTTTACAATCTCGGTGGGTGTTCTCCTCAACGTTCTCGATCATCGTTATCCAGTTTCCGCAGCGCGGTAGGAAACACGTAGTAGAGCAAACACACGATATAACGACCGGAAATATCACGCGAAGCGCGAACGAATGACGTTTAAGGAACTTAATTTCGTCGAAATGCCCCGCGAGAGTTATCGATCTAATTCGATAACTAATTAACGCCCGAAGGACTCGAAGCGCGAGAAGTTACGCCTTGGTTGCTCGTTTCCTAGTTTAACGAGACGTCTTCAACGAGAAATTGCCGTTTCGATGTGACGCAGAGAGAAATCCGTGTGTCTGTACGTGATTACTCTTACGAACGTAACAGCGGCGACGACGACGACGACGACGACGACGACGACGGACTGGAGATCGGTGGTGGAAGTTTCCGCATTTTCGCAGGCGAGTTTCCGGAGCGTTTTACCGGAGCACTCAACGACCTACAGCCATTCCGAGACTTTACGTAAACCAGTCGAGACTTATGGCTCTTGTAACTTCGCGGGGAGCGCAATCCTAGTCTCGACACCGGCCTCGGACCTAGTTCCTGATTTCCCCGTAATTTCCCAGCGTGCCCGTAACGATCTGATTCGACATCGACGATCCGGCAATTTGCCTTTCAATACCCGAGAGATTGTTATTGATTCACCGCGGCTGCGAATGCGTGCGTTGTGTTCCGCGCGCGAATATCATTCCGCAATATTCAGATTCACGCAGCAAACACACACACATACACACATGTCCACAACAGATTTGCCACACGGTAAAAGGAAACGTAAACATTTGTCCGTATCGCATCTTCTGTTTAACTACAATCTCTGCACTTCTTGTTATTGCAAAGAATTTAAAACAAAGTTTTAAATTAAACGTGCGTGTGACAATTTAAAAAAAAAAAAAAAAAACACTTTATTTATGTATAAACGCGAAGAATTATCAGATCACATATCCATCTGGAACGCGTACTTGATGTTATTTGGCGCGCAGATGACGAGCGTTCCCAGATGAATGCGGATCAGAGATCCTGACGGATCAGAGATCGACATCACGTGCGACATCATAGCGACGCGCGAGCGATGACGAGCGAATTGCATATATTTCAATAGTAGCGTTCCGCTGGTTAAACAAATCTCTCGGGGTGCGCGTTAAATTGAAGCTATTTATAAATTCCGACAGAACTGCGCTACATATGTGTGAAGGGGAGGGTAACACATCAAATCGTTGCATAGCTCGAATTATTCAAAGCCAGTTAATCCGAACGCTGCAGCTTACATTCCCAATTGCCGTTTCCAATTAACATTTGTATTACTTTAGTGTTAAATTGAGATACGTTCGTAGGTACGTTCCAGTTATGTCAACGATGGTATCGATCACGTGTTATTACTTGTATTGGTGATCTGTTTAAATAGAACAGTCTAAATGCGTGCTGAACATGTGTCGATCATTTGAGAACGTTATATGTAGCACGTTCTTCGAATAACAGATCAATCGAACCTACAGTTAAGCACCACTCCCATTATTGGCCCCTTATTCATTTTTTTTTCGAATTGTTAACATTTTTGTCCGGTTTTTGTTAACTTTTTTATACTTGACGTTTTTCGGTTGAATCAATTTAGATTTGTTTTGTGGCAACATTATTTTTAGAGTCCTTTAGTTGGCATTCTTGAGAGAAAAAATTGACAGGTCTTCAAAATGCCAATCGTTGAGCTTGAAAATGTCAATCACGTTTTTATTCTATTTCTGTCGTGAACACATGTCGTTTCTTTGTGGCCGCGTCAAAAATATTGTCAACAAGAAAAGTAACGTCCATCAATAATCCTCAGTGGCGTTCCACGTCTATTGCATTTGCAACCGCGTTGATCAGAAATGGTCTCTTTGCTTTATTACAATGTCTTTTGTTCCTCTCTCATCACGAAATGTAAATCGGTTCATCTCTCGCGGTATGGTAATCTACTCCCTACGCATATGATCGAGCTATTACGACGACAATAAGCCCAATCTCGAAACGACAATTAGGTTACCAAGCAATTTCTCGAGAAATTTCCACGTGTAATGATTCTAGCGGGACACACATAGGGTGTCGACGATAAAACGGATGCTGTCTGTTTTAGGAAAGTGCTCGGTGTCCTGGTCGAGTCACTTGCTGGTCGGCTCGGTGGCGTTGCTGATGCTGTGCTTCGGCCTGAGCTTTTGCGCGGCGCGACACAAGCCCGCGAACTCGCACACGGACCCTCTGCGCATTTGACAATCAAGATACTCCCAGTCGATCCACGCCTACGCCTCGCCGTCGAAGACGACCACGCTCTCCATCGTCACGGTCTGTTGATCGCGCCTGTTGCGTACACATATGCGCCGTGCGTGTGAGTACAGCGAGTCGTCGTCGCCGTCTATATCTCTCCCTCGTGCCGCTTGGCGTAGCGCGAAACAAGATATATATATACACGTATGTTATCGTCGCATACAAACTACTCGTAACATCTGCGCGTGCTAACGTGGAATGCGCGGCGCGTGTTGCGGGCCGCTGCGGCATGTGACGAGCGACTCTGCGCCCTCGGTGTGCATCACGTACATTTTTCATTCCGGGCACAAATATGCATTTTTTGCGCGATTTCACTTCGGTTCGGTGCGCGATTTTCGAACGCGAGAGCGCATTTCTCTCGCGAAATCGGTACCTACAGCTCGTAATAGTATTGACAAAACTTGATACGATACGGCGAATGAACTTCACGTGTGTGAGCCATTCCGTCGTGTGCTCCGAGAAATCGATGAAATAATTAATGTAAACATTAAAAGCGTAGACACGACTAATTAACTAATTGACAAATTAACATTCGTTTCGTTTTTCTTGCATTATAAATGTGCTGAAAGACGTCACAATTGAACTAATATTTTTTCTTTCTGTGAAGATGACACGTGTTTGCAAATTTCAAGACACTTTGATAACACATATTTGTGAATTAATACAAAGTGTTTTTTATAAAAAGAAAATCATTAAAAATTACTACACACACGGTAGGTGTTTTTTTTTTTTACTCATTGAATTAAAACACACACGTTAAAACACAATTCAAATCTCAGAAGAATGATCGAACTCACAGATTTTTGTTTTAAAACGCATATCTATCCCCTCTCGAGCAAATCTCACTCGCAGTCTTTGTACATAGATCTTGTACATGTACGTATGTATATATATATACACACACACACACACGCGCGCGCGCGCACACACACTAGAGTGTGTCCTCGCGGCAGACGAAACGGTTTCGAGAGACTTGCTACGGTATTTCCAATTCGGTGCCGTAGTAAAGCCTCGACTGGAAGCGACGAAGCAATTGGCAATTCGCCTCAGCGGGACTTTCAGCACTTTCAATTCGCACGGGGAGTCCCGCTCGCCGAGCGTGTGCACGGTGGCGCGAGAGGATCCCGGACGGAGAGACACGGACACTCCTCCCCTGTGCGTCGGAAGTTCGCATTCAGATGCGCCGTAACGATCACGATGCCTCCAGGTGGACTCCTGCAGCACACTCCTCTCGAGAACCGGGAATCACTGTGTTTCCTATAGCTCGAAATCTTTCGGGTATATCGATCGCGAAGGCACACACAGAATAATGTACCTTCCGAATCTCCAGAGAGATTTGAACGTTCTTCTCTTACGTTTATTCTCATCTTGGATCTTCTCTTCAAGATGTTTCGTGAAAGTAATTTGTTGATGAATGGCACCGAGTGTTTTTCGTGAAATCTATCCGTGAGATCCGGATGTTTTCGAGAACGCTTGTGTTTGCAAAGAAATCTGTCGTATCTTTTTGGTTTCGCGTTGATTTTTTTTTTCATTTGTTTTTTTGTAATTTAATACGAAAAGGAATGAGAAAAACGGTTGTATATTACGGGCGCGGCGAGGAGAAATATATATCATCGCGGTTGGTCTATTAAGTGCCAAGTAATTGTTGTCCATATTGAATCGCGCAAAAGTTGAGAAAATTGGATTTAGCCAGACGCGGGCGGAAAATTTAGCAGGTAGCGAAATCCGCGTAATTAAAAGATAAAAGGATCAGAGAAGGTCAGAACTCTCTCTGGGCTCTCTCTAGGTGCGGGCGGTAGTTTATTTGTATCGCGGCTTCTATCTAAACTGTCGGTCTTTTTTAAATACAGGAGAAAGACGAGTTGAGTTCTGCTAAGTAAAATATTTCCTCGTTTAATATTTAATATCTCTCCCGTTTAAAATTCCAATTAGATTCAATTTTAAGAGTGTAAACACACACATACATTTGTTTTTTTTTTTTATGTATTGTACATTGGCGGCGCCGCTTCGCGCAAAAGCGCTTTATTTTTATCATCGCTAAAAAACATTCATCAACGCAACTAGCGCCTTTGCAAGGTTTTTGTTAAAGAAAAATCGGCTGCAATTTGGTCGCAGAAACTCGCCGTGTGTATAGACAGATATTCGTGAATATTGAGCTTTGCCTTCCTCTTTGTGTGTGACTGCTAGATAAAAAATAGCCTGCGATTGTATCTGTGCGATATGTAAAAAAAAAAAAAAAAAAAAAACGTAATATTCGGCGTGTATGTAACCAGAGTGTATGTGTGGTACCACGGTAAAATTCACAATTGCGAACGCGGTTGAATTTCACGTGCTGACAGAATGGCGCGCACAAACGATGGCGTGCGTTATTCGGTGAAGGTATCGCTATTGGATGAATAAAAATCCAAGCTGAACAAACACATTGAAGCATATGCGGAGGGGATCTCTATGCACCGCTTACTTCTTGCATCGGATTAATCGGAGCTTTTATGTCATTCATATACGCAAGCACGCACACGCACGCGCGCGCGCGCATACTCGCGCATGCATGCGTATTTGTTTTGCGCACGAAATAACGAGCTCGTTGTGGTTTTCGCTACTGTTGCGCGTCTGATAAAAATTGTTTCACTGAGTGAGTAAAAGAATCCGCAGTAATATGGCTACTGTCTCTATTTTGCACTCTCTCTCTCTCTCCATCGCGTACTTTTCTTTTTCTTTCGCGTGCTTTCTCTTTCTCTCTGTTTCTCTTCTTTTTCCAATAATGCGCATCCTAAATTTACACTAACCACGAAAATTATCACAAATTCCAACTAGTATTTCAGTTTTACTTGTTATTAACTCGGAACGAAATCACGTCACGTTCGTCCTCCTGAGCGCAGTTTATAATATGCTTTACGAAACTGCTGGAACTACTTGAAAGCTTTTTGGATGATTCATCCCTCGCGAGCTTTATTTCGGACTTGCTTTTCAACAGGTAGCGTTACCAAAATCCACAGGTTCCGGACGAATATACATTAAATTAAATTCAAGATACTTTTTCCAAAAACAAAAAACTCTTTACATCATTAAACTGTCATAATTAGCTAAAATTCTGTTAATGCCTACTACGCGCACGTAACAGTACGTAACACCGAGAGTTAATTAACTTTTACCGAGAATTTTTTTTCCTCTGATACTTTAAAAGCACGCGTCATACCTGGCCATTTTCCAACGTAGAGAAACTTGAAGTAACTTTCGTATCTTTCAAACATCAAACTCGATTCGCTCGTTAACTCGTGATTCGCTCACAGTACCACTGGATCCTACGGCAACGTGTTTTTCTCGAGTTGTAACTTTAGGCTGCATCACCGTGAAGTCCCCCGGGCGGAACTTAGTAGAGAGTAGAAAAAAAAAAAAAAAAAAAAAGGATAGGAAGGAAACGAGCAGCCGCTTCTCCGGATCTATCGATCGATGGGGGGTCGTCGGTTTGCTCTTCTCTATCGTATATAGAAGATACGTACGTTCCGTTCCCTCGAGAAACTTTCGCGGTAAAATCTCCCCGCGTTCGCGCGTGCGCATTCTCCGTCCCATCTCTCATTCGTCTCTTCCCCGTTCTTTTCTTCTTCATCCCTCTCTCCCTCTAGCTTTTTTTTCTTTTATTTTTCGCTATGCGTTTCCACACGCCGCCACACCGATTTCCACTTTGCCTCTTATCGACTTCCGCCTTCCTTCCTAACCTAAGGACTCCCCTGGCCATTTCTCTCGCGACCAAGCAACACCACCACCACCACCATCACCGGCCAGTGTGCGAAAGGTGGAGAAAAGAGATAGCCGGAAACGCGAGTTCGTTCTCGTGACTAATTGAGCTATCGGTTCACCGAGCGAGAGATACGATAGGTCGGAGATACGACGGCAGAGGAGAAGAATGTGTCTCGAACGAACTAACCCGTTGTTCCACCCCTGATCTTTCGCGACGTGGTCTTTGTGTTTTCGCTCTCTCACAAGCACTTATCGTGCGGCCGAGCGCAGAGCAAGCGGCAGCCATTTCGCTGTCTCCATAAACGTACTGTTCTGTAACCGGTTAGCTTGCTTGGCTGTTCTTAGAAAGCCCATAAAGATCGCGAGCGAATTCCTACGTCAGTTTATTCTCTCTCTCTCTCTCTCTCTCTCTCTCTCTCTCTCTCTCTCTCTTTCTTTCTTCTTCTCTTTCTGCTAATCTTAGTTTCGCCAAGACCATTTCCACTCTATAATTTGGTTTTTCGAGTTGGTAACAAAAAGATAGAATGGAGAACTACAGAAATATAAGAGACAAACTTCTTATCGCTCGTAACGCTTATACGAATTGCATGTCTGAATGGGAATTTATCGCACAGAGGTGCGAGGACAATAACCAGATCTAAAAAGAGCATTATTATTTTCGCTGTGTCGCGACGCGTAATGACATTATAACGTAAAAGTAGGTAAAAGTGATTATATACGTAATTCGATATATCGGGAAATGTCAATTTCCCGTCGCGGAAAAGAAACTCCGATAACTTAAATGATTTTGATGTCTCCACTGTTCCTCAAAGTTTCTTCTATAAGTCTCGCGGTCCCGCGCGCAACAACAATTTACGATGGTTGGTCGAGCAATCGAGATGTCCTTTATCGTGACAATCACAATTTCCTGCAATTCTTTTTCGTCGCGCTTCTTTGTTGAAGATTCAATTAACGATGAAAAAAAAAAACGTCAAATTCAATGTATCATCGGCTAATTTTAGAAAATACATATATACAATTTTTATTCGCATAGTTATTTTTTTACTTTGTTATAAGATATTCTGATCTTAAATAATGTTATTAATACAAGGATTTCGCGTGTATAAAAATCTAAGATTCTTTTTTCTTAATTTTTTAACTTTCGTTATTCTTGCGTTTGCGACAACAATAATTGTTTTCTCGCTAAGTTTTGTTTAAAGCTTAAATTTTAGTCATGCTGCGCAAATTCAAATTTATAATGTTGTTCACTTATTACAGTTCAAGAGAAAATAAAATCAATGAGATTGATAAGATTATTTGCTCGTTTATAAGCTATTTAATATAAATTGAAATTATCGAGAGATTCAAAAACTAAAAGAAGCTATGCTAATTTGTCTTTGAGAAGCAACTCGTTCTTTGATTAACTTCGACCTGTGATCGAACAGCGTAAAGCTTTCTCGTTAATTTGACACTTTCGATGCGCGCGCCCAATAATGAGGGATATTGGTCGACCGTGTTTCCAGGACGCCCGAGCGATCAGCGAGCGAGATTGTGATTAATCCCATCGAATTGTCATTAGCTTCATAAGACGATTATCATTGTCGGCAATAAGAAGCTAATTAATAATCACGGTAATTATCCACGCCCACGCGAATAACGTACGTGTTTATCGTCTTCGCGGTGAGATATAATTAAAAATTCTATTACACGCCTTCTCAATTCAAGCCTCAACTCTTCGTTAATTTGTTAAAAACAAAAAAGTATATCGATCGATCGCGGAGATAAGAAATATGAACTGTTCGGTATAGCAAACGGAATTGAATGAACGAAGAATATTCGAGAACGAGGAATAAAATGTTTTCTAAGGTTTGTTTTGATTGCAAATTGTCTTACTGTTACTTGCGAGAGAGAGATCGATATATCCAAAGAAGTTTTACGTACAAACTCGACAAAACAAGAAAAATGTTCACACATATATATGCGTGCTTCTCAAATATCATTACATTTTTCACTCTCCGCCGTACTGACTCGATATACAAAATATTAAATATTAAAAAGTAACGTATTGACACACACACATCCACGATATCTTCATACCAAAGAAATTAAAGACCATCTTAATTCAAGTCAGTGTATGTTAAAATTGAGTACAGTACAACCTCTCGAAACGTGTACTTCTTCTTTTTTTTTTACTCTTTAACTCACGCATGCGCAAAGACTTATTATCGCGCAAGCACTAGCGCAGTTTCGTTTGCAATCATACTTACAATTAGTGGTGGGAAAAGCGATGAAGGGGAAAATTATACGTTTTGAGAGTGGATGTGTATACGTGTTTTGGGGAGTTCTACTATGTATGTAAAAATATTTCGAGTTTTCGAAAACATCGACGTTATCAATCTTTTGTGACTTTTGCAGAAAAAAAATAAAAATAAAAAAGAAACATGTTGCACAAAATAACACAATCAATACCGTTCCGGCATTAAGTGATTGACGTAATCGTATTTTCAATGTATATATTCTCACGCGCATGTATTGGATGCTGGAACATGTGAAAAAAAAAAAAAAAAAAAAAAAAAACAATATTTCGCTTATAGCGGTATTTTAAGTGGATATGTCGAAAAAAAGCATTTCCGAGAGAATGGCTTTTACTTTCAAAAATGCATGTTTTTAAATTTGTAAAAGAACTACGTGCGTGAGAGAATGCTGTGCGCGTGTGTGTGTGTGTGTGTGTTTGTTTGTATGGAAGTTGGTAATGTTAAATTAAAATCTCTCTTTTTCATTAATACAAATTTTAACTTTGATTGCGATGTAACTTTTATACGTTATAGCGCGCAAAGTTGATTTGTTTGTAAAGAAACCCACATACTAAATTAATCAGTCGATGTTCATCGATTTTATTCGCAACATCGAATATAAATAAAACAAGAGCCATTAAAAATCGTATGTAAAATATAAAAAACGAAAAGAGAGCGTGCATCCAATTAGTTGTATATATATTAAAAAAAAAAAAATATGTGCGTATGCATTCAACGTAAAGATAATAAATAAATAAATAAACGTTGTTTAATGTGCGACATAAAAAAATAATTAATAACGACATCAACTGGAAGTTTAAAGTTTTTTTGTGACTGATTGAAGAGGGGAGTTAGCGATATGTTATGTACGACATGTTATTTATATATATGATATTGTATATTCATGATCGTTTCCGCGTGTGAACGACGAATGTGTACATATTATATGTATTCAACTCTAATGTATAAATGTGTTACGTATTAATATATTTTATAATAAAATCGAAATATATGAACAACGAACTATATCGCATTAAATTTATTTTCGCTGTTCCTGACATAGTAATTGCACACACACTCACACACGCACTCTTTCTGTCGCATTTTGTGTGTGTGTGTGTGTGTGTGTGTGTATATGAGCATAAGAAAAAAGTAATTAAAAACATCTTTCTAATGCATTCCTCAATATAAAACACTCGACTGTTTTACTCTCGCTCCAGCTTGTACGTTATTTAATAAATAACTTTTAAACATTACATTTTTTGTCGCACGTTTTCTAATGACATTCTGTGATTTTCGTAAACAGTCGTTTGCTTACTACGTGTGATAGCGGCCTAATTGCTATTCTAATCTTTATCAGTTGCATCTTTTCTAAAGCAAGGTTTGGGATAAGATAAGAGAAGGAGGATTTATGGGAAAGATCGCTTTCAACGGCAAATGCTCTTACGCGGCATGAAGTAGTTTCCTATAAGCGGACTAGTGTAACGGAGAAGAGTAGGCGGAGGAGGATAATGACATTGAGGTGAAGAAGAGATGGGAAGAGAGGAATGCGATAACGCGGCGAATCAGCGTCAAGATAAAAACAGATGACAAGATAAGCGGGGATCGAGGAAGCTGCATTGTGCGAGGAGAGAGAGAGAGTGAATGAATTGGATCGATATAGAATATAGATCGCGGGTGAGGAAAAATGTTTGCCTCATTACCTTGATGATATTTGATACAGAGCCGCACGCCAACGAGATAAAGATAAACGTTGCGGAGGTGAATAACTTGAAGGTATAGATCGAAAAGCTCTAAAAAAATATATATATATGCGCGCGTGTGTCAAATATACGCGAAAGAGAATCGCATTATCTTTCAAATAACTTCTGGTTCTTAAACGCACGAGTACAAGAAAGTGGACATAATCGTTTACGAAGAAAACATTACCGATAAAACGACGATAGTAAAAGTGCGGGATAACGATGAGCAGTTTTGCGTTTGAATGCGTGTTTGCAGCAACAAGATATGCGCGTAATAAAACTCAAAAGCTTCCTTTACGCGTCAGTGGTGAAACAAGATAAAATTTCGCGAGACTGAAATAAACAACCTGTTTGTAAACCGCGCGCCCGTTGCAAAGAGAGAGTCTCTGATTCTCTCGCGAAGTTACACCCGCGCTTTACACATGACGATTTGATTCCCAAAGATTGAAGAAAGCCGGATCACATTTGCGCGCAAGTTGGTGCTTGCGTTAATAAGAAGATTTCTCGCGGTTGTAGACCAGGCATTAGGACTCCGAGGTAAGATATAATCCGTGAATACGGCAAGATCCTGGCGGGTTCACGGTTCGTGTTCGGAACTCCTCAGCAAGAACGCTAACGCTTATTAGAGTTTGCTCGTTAGAACAATCGCGAGGAACAGACGGCGGAATTAGCCGACATACCATTTGCTGATAGTTGCGCATTTCTTAGTCAAATTGTATAATTAACAACGGCGCGGAGAACAAAGAGTCATGTGTCGAACGAACAAGACGTCGTGTACAAATTTCGTGACATTGGCGCGGTGACGAAGCGACGAGGCGGGAGTAAATTGAAAGAAAACACGATTCAAGCTTTAACGTACTGGATTCATTATGAAACTCCTGATTGCGTTCTAATGTCTCACGGCGCGTCTCAGCACGCGCGGGGGTCAAACCTCTCTCTCTCTCTAATATGTCTCTCCTTCTCTCTCGTTCGTTTCTATCGAGCGCTCGATAAACTCCATTTAGGAAGCAAGCGCAAAGGCGCGCCCCTTCGTCAAGTAATGCAAAGCATCAAGCACAGGCTCGGCCGCGTCGACGCAAAGCCCCGATAATGCAAAGCGGAATAAGGCAGTCCGACGGGGTTCGAGATACCGCATTGCTAAGGAGATTGGAAACTGGAATCTACGTGCGAAGTAGCACTTGTCGCTATACCTTCTGCCTTCCCTCTTCCGCCTCCCTTCCGACTCCTTCCTCGCTCAATGTCGAAGATCTTTCTTCCTTTACCTTTTTATTCCGCAGCCTGCAATGGGAAACCACGGGAAATCGCGGTGCGCGTATCGTATTACTTTAAGAGAAGTTAAACCTGAGAAACTTACATCTTGCGCTTTTCGAATTTTATAATCTCGTGTATTTGCGCACGCCTTCTTGGTTTTCTAGTCGCGAGAGAGATATGGTAATAAGAAATATCGTGAAAAAATTCTTTTAAAAATTTAAATGGTATATACGTACTATATCTTGTTTTCTTACGATGTAAGAAAAGTAGATCTAAGATAGTGCGCGGTACTATATTGAAGATAAAGAATGTTGCGATATTTTTCTCTCTCTCTCTCTCTCTCTCTCTCTCTCTTTCTCTCTCTCTCTCTCTCTCTCATACACGCACATTTTACTTTGTAGTAGCAACAAAGCTACGACTAAAACCGTTTGCTTATGTATATTCACTATCGTTTTCATTGAATTATTATATTTCGCTGTACATCTCTTCTGTTCTTTATCCAATCTTCTATGCGGAGTATATCCTGTGTGTGTGATTACACGTTGCGCGCAGTTATGAAGCCGCTGGTGGTTATCTTGTGTCCCGTCAACTTGTGCCCGGAACGGCTTAATGTAACGGCACGGCTTCCAGTTTATAAGTTATGAATTCCTTCACTAATCCGATATGCAAAATGCGCGAAGTGTAGCTTGAATAAATCATTTGCTCACAAGTTTCTTTTCGCAATAATATTTAAATATATTTAAAATAAATACACATC